TGCTCCCCAGTGCATGTGTCTTATACAGGTGTTCAACCTGTGTGGCCAAAATGAAGGGTGCACGAGGGGCCCACCCCACCCTCCTTGAAATTCGGAAGGAGGGTTGTGTTCTACTGAAAATTAATAATGAAAATACGAGTTTTTCAAGGCCTGCAACTGGGGGGACACCCCTGAAAAAATATGGCAACGGTCCTGCATTCAATTGTACAAGCTATTATCTACATCATTATAAAACGTGCTGGTTGCCCTGTAATGCATGAAAGTGTCTCGGCAGGCTTCTCACAGCAATGAAACTGCCTTTTCAAGTTCAGGTGGAGAAAATTAGTATGCACTGCAGAATGGACCATTTGTGTTTTGGCAAAGATACGTGAACTGCAATGAACTACTACTCTGAGGTAAAATGTTTCAGAAAACTAAGGGACTCAGCTACCTTTGTTGCAAACACGAAAGGGTAGACACAACCCCAGAGAATAACTGTCTCAAGTAATGGTTTCAGTATGTGAACTAGTTTGTGACTACATGCCCATCACATGTTGAAGATTACTGAATTGCTAAGCATCACATATTGTTAAAGATTTAAACCTTGTTGTTAGTCTACCAAAGACTAATGCTTGTAATACCTGCAAAAACTATCGCTGTACGAGGGCAAGTATGTGACATCAACTTCAGCAGCTGGCCTTAGTTCCTCAGCAGGGAAAGATACGTCCATTCGGACAGTTGTTTCAGCAGCTAGCTTTTCTTTCTCAGCGGGGGAATATTCATTCATTCATTCGGACAAGTATTGAGCCACCGAGAGGCCTGAAACCTGCTGGGAGCTGTGGCACTGAAGCAACATCGGCTGAAGCTGCTACTGCTGCTTCATGTGATGAAGCACCACTGTACACTGCAGCTTCTGAGGTGAAAGCAGCTGCTGTCTGTGAATTGGCCAAAACGAGCACCTTCGGTGTCATGTCCACATGTGTAGCTGAGATGGTTATAATACACTCAAATGAACAAAACTTCTTCGATTGGTGTCATGCCTAGTTGTTTATCATCATGCATAATTCCCTGCTAGTTTTCTTTGTTTAAGAGCTAAGGTGTGAATATTGTAACTGAACAGCTACTGTACATTTTATGCCTGATACATGCATTTTTCAACTTGTAGGTCAACTTACCAACAGACCGGCATTCTACTGTCTTCCGAGTTGCCACTGTACTGGTGGTTGCCACGCACACAGTTTTCTGTGTGGTTGTCTGGATATGAGGTGGTCAGAATAAGCATATTATGCTACACCTGCACTTTTGCTAAACTGTATATTTTGTGCATCACACTGTCTTTGTGGTCATATGGCATCAAAATCACTTTACATAAAATAGCTTGTGTTTGTTTTAAACAGCAAACACGCTTAGAAATATTAAAATGCTTCTGGTTTTTACGATGACTTCCCAGATGCCAAGTAATGTTTCAAAGAACACAAAATAATTTCACATCTGGGAGCTGTGCAAATCAAGCTGCCTTATCCAACATCAGCTAGTTGCACAGTGTGTGGCTGCATAAGAAAGGTGTTACTGAGCTATTTTCCATAACATGCAGCAATGCTATGCAACACATATACATTCTAACTTTTGTGCAGTGCAAATATATACAAACAAAACAGGACTAACCTGGCTAACAGAAGGTTCCAAGACTGTGCCACATACTGCACAGTCTTGTGTGTCTACTAAAAACACACTGCCCAGAAATCTTGTATAATACTTTAAGAGGCTGGAGAGTTGATTGTATTAGGATAAAAGCTACTTCGGCATTTTCGTGTTTTTTTTTTACTTTTTCACATCTCGTATGGAATAAGCACATTAACTATGCATGCAGTACTAATTAGCAGTTCTTTTTTCTTTCTTTGATGAGCTGCTAAGTTCTCCTTGTTAGATGCGAAGCCAGCATTTCATTGCATTCCTTTGATTTGGTGATCATGCATTATGACATAAGCAAATAAAGTATTGCAGTTATACAATTAATTTCATAATTAAGGGCCACTAATTTCTCTCGGCTTCTTTATTTTCCCACATGATATTCTACAACGTAAGGCAGAATGCTCATAATCGCCACCGTAAGCAGCCATAAGCTTTTCATTTGAATGAATTTCCCCAAGCACAGTCGATGAATTAAATCAACCATCGATCGGCACGCTTTCTCTTGCAAGACTGCCTTCACACATACATAAAAGTGCAATCGCACCGGCAAATAATTGAACAAATAAAACACAAAAGCATATGCGCTACTGTTGAACCATAAGCTTCAACGCACTTTGGACGCCGACACCGAGAGACGATTTTCTAGGGCGCCGTGCTATATCTATTCGGCAGACCAGCAATCGGGCCGTATCCTATCAACGCCGTGGCACACGTATTGCATTATTGCGGGGCTTTATTTGAGCTCATCGTGTAGGTAACATGCATGCCATACACTTTAATCTGCATTATTCAGCTCACCCTACGACGTGTATACATTTGTGCAGTCGTTTCAAAAGAATAGTTTTGGATTCACAAGCAGCCCAAGTAGCACAAATACGTTATAATAATGTTACTTTTACGTTCAGCTTTAATGTTGAAACAATATTGTTTGTTGAAACAATATTGTTAATGTCATCGAAACTAAATGTTCTGCTAACGTTCTAAATAAACGTTGAAATAACGTAATCTTAAACATAATGTAAACAATAATAAAACGTTATGATAACGTTTGCATAACGTTAAGCAAAACGTAAGAGTGACGTTACAAGTTACACTCCCGTAACATTTATAAAACGTTAAGAATTATTGTAAATTGTGCTCATGCAACGCTGAAAACAGGCCCAATGTCAGAAGTCTTTTTCAATGAAAAGACAAACTTGCGAATCATAGCTGGAGCACATGTTCAACATGCAGTAGGGTATTCTAAAGTACATTAAATTATTTATGGAACGCATGTGTGTTAGCGGCTTGTATATATATGCATGGACCGAACCAGACTGATTTGAAGCACTCTAATCAGCAGTTTCAACGGCTTTCTACATTTTGCAGCTGTTTGGCAGCATTAACTCATCTTAACTGCATGTCTTGATTGCAAATATACTTTATTGCATGATGCCCTTATATACTTTATTCCTCGATGCTCATCCGAGGCTTGGCTGTCATCAATAAGCAGGCCGCGGCACTTTGTTCTGAAAAAACAAGAAATATTCAGGAATTACTGCAGATGATAAACAAACAAAATAGGTTTAGTAGCAGCATAAACATTACAGATGCTTTTTATAGGACAATGAAAACCATTCACCCCCACTGCACAATTAATGCACGTAGATAGATATGTAGAGCTTGACGTGCCAAAACCACCATGTGATTATGAGAGACGCCGTAGTGGAAGGCTCCGGAAATTTCGACCACCTGGGGTTTTTCAACGTGCACCCAAATCTGAGCACACGGGTCTACAACATTTCCACCTCCATCGGAAATGCAGCCGCCGCAGCCGGGATGCGATTGATTGATTGATTTGTGGGGTTTAACGTCCCAAAACCACTATATGATTATGAGAGACGCCGTAGTGGAGGGCTCCGGAAATTTCGACCACCTGGGGTTCTTTAACGTGCACCCAAATCTGAGTACACGGGCCTACAACATTTCCGCCTCCATCGGAAATGCAGCCGCCGCAGCCGGGAATCGAACCCGCGACCTGCGGGTCAGCAGCCGAGTACCTTAGCCACTAGACCACCGCGGCGGGGCAGCAGCCGGGATGCGAACCCGCGACCTGCGCGTCAGCAGCCGAGTACCTTAGTCACTTGACCACCGCGGCGGGGCAAAATTAATGCACGTAGCCTTGTAAGTGCTCTGTAAAGTCCTTGTTCGCAGCAGCTGTCTGAAAGTTCGAATTTCATCCAACCACCAATAACGTTCACTGTCAGCACTGCCTTGCAATAGCGCTGCCTTTCTGGTCTACATCACACATCACGTTTGATAGTGCCATGGTGGTCCCTCGATGGTATATGCTGTCACTTGCTGCCTGCTTCCACTTGAGCGCACTTCAAAATTTAAAGCTTTTGACTTACTTATACTGAATCACTGAATGGAAGCAGATATCTTGCAGCGCTGCTGGAGCTATGCGGAATACACTGGCAGTAGACTTGTGCAGTATATACAACATAGTTCCGGGCAAAGCTGTTTCATTAAGCACATACAAGGGTTTTAGCTGTGCTTCTTGCATGGGACGCTACAGCTATAAGAGGTACGTTTGGCATGTACTTGGCAAACTCTGAATTACTGTAGCCATTACCAGCTGGTAATCGCAATAGCCTCCCTAACCAAGATGACCTACAAGCAGCATGGCAGCCCATACAACCCAGACCATCTGCTTTCATCCAAATTTGTGCTTTTTACTGGCGCTCTACTCAGACAGAAAGAAATAAGCGGTATAACCTGTCATCACTTAGTCTCATCTAAACCTGAAGACAAGGCATCAGGTATCTTTGGTGTGGGAAAAATACTGTTATCTAACAACCCAGGGATCCAGCTGTACGCAATAAATAAAGCTGGTGTAACCAACGTGCTTAGGAAGAACCCTATATGCACATAACTACTGCACTGACCAAAACACATCTACCAACCTTGTACGTTTAACTTAAAGCGAAAAATTGCAGCACAACCACTCGTAGACTGCTTCCCATAAAACTGATTACCACAAGCTGTTGTTATGTGCTGCATTTTTTTTTCTTTTGATTCAAAAATACAGCATAACTGAGCTCGTAATATATATATATATATATATATATATATATATATATATATATATATATATATATATATATATATATATATATATATATATATATATATATTACATTCTAAGTAAGATTAACTATAAAAAAAGTAAGTATAAACATTACTACTTTCTCTTTCTTATAAAAGAACAGAGGAAGGCCTGTAAAAAAGTTATGCCATAAAACTAAAGGTGGCAAGGACAAAAAGAGTGATAGCTCAGCTGAATTATAAAATAATAAACGTAAAGTTTTTGCTTGCCTTGGACGCAGTAAGCCTTGCATTGGCAAAGCGTAACCAATCGCCAATCACGTGGCTGATCTCAGCATCTGTTGCCTTGCATGTTGTACGTACAGCAGCTGGAAATAATATGCATAGCAACCAGGACCATCATTTTTTTTTTTTCACGAACAGTAATAAGTACACCAGGACATAAAAAATTTGCGTCCCCTTACCAAATACAAGACGAACAATCTTGAGCTCCGCTGCCCGTCGTTTGCCTTTTCTTCCAGTATAGCTTTACAGTACCGCTACACTGTCATGAAGAAGCCTCTTCATTACTATTTTTGTGGTCGTGCTTATGTCACAACCTCCAATTTGGCCCAGTTCTTTCACCTTGAATGAAAAGATGTTGAAAAAGGTTCACACAATACTCTTGTAGTCCTGGAATTTTGAAGCAACACATTATGTTATTGTTGAACCAGCTTGCAGCACCTGCAATGAACAGCAACACTTACCAGTGCAGCAAAAATGACGCTGTTTTCGAGACTAGCTTCAAGTATCCTCAATTCTTCCTCAGTTGTAGCAGGGTAGAGGGGCATTTCATTTAAATCCATGGCATTTTCAACTGTGGTGTCTTGATTTAGGTGATGCTCAATTCTTGTCAGAACTGCACTTTGTGCAGCTAGCTGCATTTTTAAATGCTCAACCTGCGTGAGCACTTTCGCAAGAACTGATGGAAAGAAAAAAATGTACCATACGATTGCACTGTCATGTCGATTTTTGAACAAAAGAAAGGCACAGCATATTACCGCAGAAAAAGAAAGAAAATAAAGTTTGACAGATCGGCTGCTGATGCTTGCACTTGAATAAACGGCGAATGATAGAATTGGCTCTTGATAAGACTAGATTAATGTAAACTATTACACAAAACAAAAGAACGAGTGAAATAAACTGCTATACTAAGCAACAACTTTTCTCGGCACTGCACGGAAAGCTACGGAGGTGGAGTTTCTGCACATGTAGCACTACGCGAAGTAGTCCGTTTTGGCGTGCGTCTCTTAACGCTATAGAAAGTGACGGGGGCGCACCATCAGTGGTTCATGTATAGACGCAAATGTCGCTTAGCGTTTGAGGTGCACGTAAAAAGGTGGGACGTACAGGGTAGGTCAAAAGTTCTTAGGCCACTATCTCATGTATTTCTATGGCAGCGTGGCCTGGGAACTGGCAGCGTGGCCTGGGAACCCCTCCTGTACTTTTTGTGTCAGCCACGGCGCGGTTCCGCGTGACAATGGTATTACATGCATGCAGTAGTTTCACTTAATCGAGAGTAGCAGCTTTAAAGTGCAAGGAAGTCATTTAGGCTTACCTTCATATACTATCTTCACAAGCGTGAACGAAAAGCGCGCTGGTCTCGTCGTCACGATTGTCTACGCTCGCCAAGAAAACAGAAAGACGCTTTTATGGTTGCCAACTTTAGCCAAAACGTAGAAAAATTAAGCGCTGCATCTGACTAAAACTGCTAGTGCTGCAACAAAAAACATTTTTGCAAAACAAAACAAATTGTAATTCAATATAGAAAGTTTTTGTTAACTAAATAAAATATGTTTTTTTTTAAAATATCAGTAAAATTTCACTAGCGCTACCTTCTCAGTTGAGCAAAAACAGAGGTAAAAACGGGGCTGCACCCGTGAAGTGGCTTAAATTGTAAAAAACTAGGTTCTGTGGTTAAGTGGTTACAGTTAACGTCTTGTCACACTAAGTAGAGCCGTAAAGCAAGCTGCGCTAGAGCTGCAATGACCCATTGGCGAAATTAGCGTCGTAAAAGATTGTAATGGTAACAAATTTTGATGCGGGGCATCGTCTCGAAACGTATGGAGTGTGTGTGCGTCATCTGCAAAACTGTAGGGTTCGTTCGTGATTTGTTCGTGTTGCGACATGTATATACACTGGACGCTGACATTCGGCGCACAGTTTGGCCTTCACAGATCTTGAGACTCTCAGCGCTCGCCTACTGTGCTTTTGATTTGATCGTGGAAGGTGGTTGGTGCGTTGATCGGTGCCAACCTGTCCCACCTGACGGCATATGTTGCCTGGAATGTGCTTACTGTGTTCAGCGTGTTACCAATTAGGTTCAATTCGTGGTGCGGCCCAGCAAGGGTAGCTAGCCCAGCTGCACACTGCCTTTGCGCGCTGTCTTCACGCCTTGCATTCATAATTCGCCGAGGCGGCGAAGACGAGAATGTGCCCGTTGACCATATTTTGTTGGTTGCGATGTCATGTCTGTGCACGGATTGACTTTCGGCAGGACATTTTCTGACTAGTGTTCAGCTATTTTGACCGAGTGGCCGACTGCATGCAGTTGTACAGCTTACGAGGTGTGTTACTGGCACACTTGCGTTACGTCTCATATATGTAGCTTACCTGTTGCTGTTCTGGCTAAGGAGTTACGTTAGCGTAATGCTTTTCATGGGACGTCTCATTTTCGGCCAGTTTCATTCGGGCTGTGCTCCAGATGAAATGTAGAAACAAACCTCATCCTATTAACGCAGTGCCTACAATCCTGACCGAGTTGCCATATCTCCATTAATTTAACACAAATTCAAGGTGCACATGACAGAAACGGTCTGAAATCTAGTATTGGCTCTTGTTTAAGTATTGTTGCACAAGAGCAGACTGCACACAGAGAATGTACAACATGACTGCTCATGTTAAATGTTCCTACTGCTCTGTTTTCTTTTATGCACTGAAATTTAAACAGCCAGACTACTTTCACTGTCATGTCCTTATGTCTGGCTTTGTATAGTTTTAATAATATTATTATTGGGGCATTTACATGCCAAAACCACTATACCACTATATAAATATGAGCGCACTGTAGCAGAGAGCTTTAGGAATTTCAACTATCTGGTGTTCTTGAACGACATTGCAGCGTACAATTGTCGATCTGATGTTCTTAAACGACATTGCACCGTACAATTGTCGGAAAGCTTAACTCGAACGCTCTGCAGCGTGTCTTGTACTGGCTTGACTGAGGCGAGCCGCGAAACACTGGGCACTGTTGCCGAGATAATAGCTCGGTAAGCTTGGATTGTATGTTGGCATGCATGCGTAACACCTCGGCAACAAAACTCAAAGCTGCGTGGCGCTATTGTCACCAAACTGCTTCAGGACATGTTGTGGAGCATTCGAGCTAAGCTTACTGACGACTCTAGATGGGCCTCTGGCATTTTGCCTGTAGCTTTGGCTGCTGATTGTTAGACGGTGAATGAAAACAAGCCAGGATGAGGAGCATTCTTTACATGCTCACGCTACCATACTTGTTAGGAACAGTAATTCTTACTGAGATGAGAAATGTTTTGACATGTTAATTATAAAAGCCCCTTAAATTATCTCAGATCCTGGTGGATGCGGAAACTATACACAATATTTATATCACTTCTAATGCAGTGACGTACAAGAATTGGCAAAACTTGTACTAGGCTGCTCAAGGCTTGAAACAGCAAAACTGGACGATTGTGAAGACTTTACTGGTTGCTTCTAGGCTTTCGCTAGGTGATGCTAGGTTGTTTTTACGTTGATTCTTAGATCAAAGAAGCCCATAGACAGTCACAGGCACGACACGGTTATTCAAATTCCAGAGACAAAAACTCTCCCTGAAACTGAGCATCCACACCTCTTAGAGATCGACAGGCACGTCCTTAGCACAGGCCTGTTGCTTCGGGGTCTTCTCGCCTCTGCTGTTGCCTTTCTCGTTTCCTAGTATTTTCTCATAGGGGCTCGGGGGTGTTTGGTTCGCTGTTGCTTTAAAGCGATTTGTTGGGCTAACTGTTGCCTTCATCATTATTAGTGAACCAGGGGCGAGTAGTAAGATTTTCCCAATTTCTGTCACACATACCCATTTATGATGATGATAGTTTTCTGGTAGGCTGCATAGAGTCACATACCTCTTGCAATGATAGTTTTTTCCACCGACTCGTGATTTCCTAAACAGCTTCGCTGATAGAAGTCTAAAGGATCGCAAAAGCCCTGGTGAGGTCACGCTACGATGTAGTCTCTCAATTATCTTAAGTGTCTTGTCTTTTAAGAATTACCAGAATTTAAACGTCTTCTGTAGTAAGATAGTTAACAATACTTACAAATCTTCAGGATATTTTCATTATAACTTGCATTTTGTCCCTCCATGAGTCAAATTTTTGAGCTTACAAAACATGAATTGGCCCAAAATTAATCATATGCAGTTTGAACGCAGCCCAATTGAAGTCTATGGAGCTTGACCTAAACCGTAAAGTTATATCAATCTGTTCCAATTAGCCTACTGTTACTCGTACTGTACCAGCTAGTTTTGTTTTGATCAGGACTAACCCAGGCGTACTTAATGTATACCTGCAATGCACAATCACTAGAATGTACTTGTAGTACCGAATGCACACATTTCAATATAATTTCCTAACTGCTCATCATACTTCAGCCCACACACATTACCACAAGGCTGTCGACCTACCTCTTGTTTGCACCATGACCCACTATCGTTCCTTTGCTAGACCACCCAGGACTGGAACAGTCTTTCTAAGAGCATCACCATCATTCAAACTTGGATAGCTTTAGCAAAGCCTTAGAATCTTTGTTTTATTTACAATAATTGTTTGGCTCACTCCCGCATGTTTTGGCCCAAACATTGGGACCTCAATAAAAAAATTGCATTACTGTTTTGCCAACCTTTTGTGAGTCACCAGTGTTCTTGGGAATCAGCAGGGGCATGCACATTTAAAATATCATTTGCCCAAACCACACCAGCACTCCCCCACCGCAATGCAATCCCCCCCCCCCCCCCGCCAAGACTTAACTCATTCATGCCGACGTCCATGGTAGTTTGGTACATATGTACAATGTACTTTAAAGTACATATGTACATATGTTTCTCACACATCACTGTAATATATACCACAGTGATGTGTGAGAAACTTGAAAGCTACTACAAATACATGACCAAATGACAGCTGTGAATGACATTTCAAGCAGTAAAACCAGTTCATAAGCGTGCATAGAATAGTTGCAATATCAATTGAAAAATAGCCACAGATTGACTGCACTACATGTTATTGTAACTATCATTATCTGGTGTCACTTAGCAAAAACCAATTTCATTTCTTAAATGAAATTTAATGTTTTTTCTGTACATCATGAAGTATTTCCCTGCAGCTATAAGTTATTAAATTTCTTGGTTAATGGGCATTTTCGGCAAATAATGATGGTAAAATATTATATGAACATTACTGTAATGTTTACCTGTTATGTTAATTCTTTGTGCAATTTTAACATTTTTTTAATGTTTGAAATATAACATTCAACGTTCAATGTTTTGTTTGAATGTTGCACTAATGTTCGACATTCAACGTTATTTTAACAGTGTATTTCTAATATATATATAATGTTTTACATACAACAAAGAACGTTATATGTTTAATGTAAAATGTTTAGACAACGTTGTTGGAAAACATAAAATGTTTCTTCAACATTCGCAACAAAAATACAACGTTACTTTAATGTTTTGAGCTACCTGGGAGCCTATCATTCGGATCTGGAAATTGTGAACCGGAGGAGGCGAAAATACTGTAGGCCCTTTTGCTCAAATTTGCGTGCACGTTGAAGAACCCCAGGTGGTCAAAATTTCCGGAGCCCTCACTATACGGCGGCTCTCATAATCATATCGTGATTTTCGGATGTTAAACCCCACATATCATGAATGTGAAAAAACCGTTTCAAGGACCGTTTAACTCTATGCGAAATAGAGAACTGATCAAGCAGGAACACCACGGGTTGCACAAGGCCTGCTGCAAACCGTTTTATGCGGTCAATGTTGCATAAAAAAATGATAGTGCATTACAACTGCGAACTAAACATATAAAGTGAGGGACCTTACGTTCATGTCTTTAGCATAAAGTAAAAACCAGTCGCAACAGTAAGGTGATCGCAGAAGCCTACTCTGAGCGGGCTGACTATGAAAATGCGGCGCTCAAAGAAACTCTAGGTTGAAGCGTAGTTCTGTGCAACGTTTTATTTCTTGGACCGTATATTTGCCGTTGGTAAGCGTTTTCTGATATGAAAACCATATCTTCTATCGAGGTAACTTGTCAGCACATTTCATTGTTATCTGTGTATAAACTTATGCACACAAGCGTTGCGCACGCTAAAGTGGCTAGAAAGGTTTATTAAAGGACGCCTATGTGTTTTTTTGGAAGTGCCAATTAATTTTTTTGTAAACCTTGCTTTCTTTCGCATTTTATTCTGTCAGGAAATTATCGTTTTTTTTCTTAATTCTGCCCTTTAGTGAATGCATCGCAATCACTTTCTGCCGGTTACAGTTAAACAGTTTCATACAATCATAGAGTTTTTAATATCCACTAGAGGAAACCAACTACGCCACAGCTGCCGATCAGTTTGAGATGGCCAAGG